TCATGCACTAGACCGACCAAGTGGCCTCGGAAAGGAAGGGGAGGATATCTGAGCACAGGGAAGCGAGTCTGTTTATTTGTTTCTTAATTCTAATTAGAAAAAGGAAAAGAGTGTCAGGAGTCTTTAGTGATTCACATCTTAATAGCCTGGTTATAATTTATTAATCCCTTTCATCAAATTTTCAGCATCCCTTTCCCCAGGAGTCTGAGTGACTCAAATGTATTTATTGTTTCTAGGTGGGGTGTCATTAAATATTTGGCATCTCCTAAAGCGGCTTGGGAAACTGGATTATATACCATGTGAAGGCAAATTATTTCTGGAGGGAGAAGCATGGATAGATAAAACATTAGGCAAAATGAGTGATAACATGCAGATACATTATTTTTTAGAATAATAATGACCTCATATTTATCTCTAATAATGACAATGCAGGTCTGCTATTTTACTTTTTCCTATAATTTTCCCTACTGGCCTCTCTTCCCTTTCCCTTAATGGAAATCCAATGGTTTCCCTTAAAGTGGAATATCAACACTAAAAATTATATATTAATATATTATATGTAGTGTGATGATTACCACAATAAAGTTAACACATCCATCATCTCAGATAGTTTCCTTTTTTTCCCTTTTTTTGTGGTGAGAAGATTTAAGACCTACTCAGAAAATTGCAAGTATGCAAAAATATGGCATTGTTACCTACAGTCAGCATACTGTACATTAGAGCCTCAGAACTTATTTATAATTGAAAGTTGTTCCCTGTGACAAGCATCTCTCCGTTTTTCCCATCCTCCCAGTCCTGGCAACAACCATTCTACTCTGATTCTAGGAGTTCAGCTTTTTAAGATTCCACATGTAAGTGAGATCGTATAGCATTTGTTGTTCTTTGTCTGACTTATTTCACTTAGCATAATACCCTTAGGGTTCATCCACGTTGTTGCAAATAGGATTTCCTTCCTTTCTTAAAAAAGCTTGGATTATATTTCATAGTATATGCATACAGACAATTTTACTTCTTACTGTTCAACTGGGATGGTTTTACTTCTTTTTCTTGCTTAACTGCTCTGGCTAGGGCTTTCAGCAGCAGGTCGAATAGAAGTGGTGAGATCTTGGATAAAACACTTGTTTAGTTCCTGATCTTAGAGAAAACACTTTCAGCTTTTCACTGCTGAATATGTTAACCAGTAACTTGTCATAGATAGCCTTTATCATGTTGAATGTATTACTTCTATACCTAATTAGTTGAATGTTTTTATCATGAAAGAATGTTGAATTCTGTCAAATGCTTTTTCTGCATCTTTTGAGATGATCATATGATTTTACCATTCATTTTTGTTAATGTGATGTGTCATACATATGACTTTGTGTATGCTGAACTGTTTTTATATCCTAGGGATAAATTTCATTTGATCATGATTCTTTTAATGTGTTGTTGAATTCAGTTTTGCTAGAGTTTGGTTGAGAATTTTTATATCATGTTCATCAGGTTTACTAGTTTGTAATTTTCTTTTCCTTTAGAGTCTTCATCTGGCTTTGGTATCAGATGATACTAACCTCATAAAATGAGCTTGGAAGTGTGCCCTCCTCTTCTATTTTGGGAGTTTGAGGAAGATCGGCATTCATTCTTCTTTCTTTCTTTCTTTATTTTTATTTTTTTTCCATTTATTTTTATTAGTTGGAGGCTAATTACTTTACAATATTGTAGTGGTTTTTGTCATACATTGAAATGAATTAGCCTTGGATTTACATGTGTTCCCCATCCCGGTCCCCCCTCCCACCTCCCTCTCCACCCTATCCCTCTGGGTCTTCCCAGTGCACCAAGCCCGAGCACTTGTCTCATGCACCCAACCTGGGCTGGTGATATGTTTCACCCTAGATAATACACATGTTTCGATGCTGTTCTCTTGAAACATCCCACCCTCGCCTTCTCCCAGAGTCCACAAGTCTGTTCTATACATCTGAGTCTCTTTTTCTGTTTTGCATATAGGGTTATCGTTACCATCTTTCTAAATTCCATATATGTGTGTTAGTATACTGTAATGGTCTTTATCTTTCTGGCTTACTTCGCTCTGTATAATGGGCTCCAGTTTCATCCATCTCATTAGAACTGATTCAAATGAATTCTTTTTAATGGCTGAGTAATATTCCATGGTGTATATGTACCACAGCTTCCTCATCCATTCGTCTGCTGATGGGCATCTAGGTTGCTTCCATGACCTGGCTATTATAAACAGTGCTGCGATGAACACTGGGGTGCACGTGTCTCTTTCAGATCTGGTTTCCTCGGTGTATATGCCCAGAAGTGGGATTGCTGGATCATATGGCAGTTCTATTTCCAGCTTTTTAATAAATCTCCACACTGTTTTCCATAGTGGCTGTATTAATTTGCATTCCCACCAACAGTGTAAGAGGGTTCCCTTTTCTCCACACCCTCTCCAGCATTTATTGCTTGTAGACTTTTGGATAGCAGCCATCCTGACTGGCGTGTAATGGTACCTCATTGTGGTTTTGATTTGCATTTCTCTGATAATGAGTGATGTTGAGCATCTTTTCATGTGTTTTTTTGCAATCTGTATGTCTTCCTTGGAGAAATGTCTGTTTAGTTCTTTGGCCCCTTTTTTAATTGGGTCATTTATTTTTCTGGAGTTGAGCTGGAGGAGTTGCTTGTATATTTTTGAGATTAATCCTTTGTCTGTTGCTTCGTTTGCTATTATTTTCTCCCAATCTGAGGGCTGTCTTTTCACCTTGCTTATAGTTTCCCATGTTGTGCAAAAGCTTTTAAGTTTCATTAGGTCCCATTTGTTTATTTTTGCTTTTGTTTCTAAAATTCTGGGATGTGGGTCATAGAGGATCCTGCTGTGATTTATGTCGGGGAGTGTTTTGCCTATGTTCTCCTCTAGGAGTTTTATAGTTTCTGGTCTTACATTTAGATCTTTAATCCATTTTGAGTTTATTTTTGTGTATGGTGTTAGAAAGTGTTCTAGTTTCATTCTTTTACAGGTGGTTGACCAGTTTTCCCAGCACCACTTGTTGAAGAGGTTGTCTTTTTTCCATTGTATATCCTTGCCTCCTTTGTCGAAGATAATGTGACCATAGATTCGTGGATTTATCTCTGGGCTTTCTATTCTGTTCCATTGATCTATATTTCTGTCTTTGTGCCAGTACCATACTGTCTTGATGACTGTGGCTTTGTAGTATAGTCTGAAGTCAGGCAGGTTGATTCCTCCAGTTCCATTCTTCTTTCTCAAGGTTACTTTGGCTATTCGAGGTTTTTTTGTATTTCCATACAAATTGCGAAATTTCATTCTTCTTTAAATGTTTGATACAATTCACCAGCGAGGCTGTCTGGTTTCTACTGGGAGGTTGAGAAGTTTCTGATTACTAGTTCAATCTCTTTACTTGTTATTGGCCTGTTCAGATTTTCTATTTCTTCATAATTCAATCTGTGTAGGTTGCACACTTCTAGGAATTTAAACATTTCTTCTAGATTATCTGATTTGTTGCTGTATAATTGTTTATAGCAATCTCTTACAATCCATCTGACAACAGTGGTGTCAGTTGTAATGTCTTCTTTTAATTTTATCATTTTATTTATTTGGATGATCCCTGTTTTTCTTAGTTTAGGTAAAAGTTTGGTAATTTTGGTTGTCTTTCAAAAACAAACTCTTAATTCCATGGATCTTTTCTACTGTTTTTCTATTGTCCATTTCACTTATTTCTGCTCAAGTCTTTTATTATTTTCTTCCTTCTATTAACTTTGGGCTTAATTTGGTCTCCTTCTTCTAGTTTCTTGAAATGTGAAGTTATGTTATTTATTTGAGATCATTCTTTTTTCTTAACATAGGTGTTTATAGCTATGAATTTTCCTTTTAGAAGTGTGTTTGCTGCATCCCATAAATATTGGTATGCTATATTTCCACTGTTTGTCTCAAGATATTTTTGATTTCTGTTTGATTTCTTCTTTAACCCATTGGTTGTTTAGCAGTATGTTGTTTAATTTTCATGTATTGCAAATTTTCCAAGTTTCCACCTGTTAACGGATTCATACCACTGTGCCTGGAAAAGATGTATGATGTGAAATCAGCCTTCTTGAAATTGTAATGACCTATTTTGCAGCCTAATCTGTAACCTTTGCTGGAGGATGTCCCGTGTGCCCATGAACAGTCTGTGCTGCTGTTCAGGCGCCCAGTCGTGTCCGACTCTTTGCGACCCCTGGACAGCAGCACGCCGGCTTCCCTGTCCTTCACCGTCTCCCGGAGCCTGATCAAACTCACATCCACTGAGTCAGTGATCCCATCCAACCATCTTGTTCCCTGTCATCCGCTTCTCCTCCTGCCTTCAATCCTTCTCAGCATCAGGGTCTATTCCAGTGAGTTGGCTCTTTGCATCAAGAGGCCAAGGTATTGGAGCTTCTGCCTCAGCATCAGTCCCTCTGATGAATATTCAGGATTGGTTCCCTTTTGGTCTACAGTATGATATAAATCTGCTGCTTTCTTATTAGTTTTCTATCTGGATTATTTACCCCTTGTTGTGAGTGGGATAATAAAGTCCCCTACTATCACTGTATTGTTATTTCTCCTTTCAGTTCTGTTAATATTGCTTCATGTATTTAGGTGTGCTGATACTGGGTGACAAATATTTTAAATTGTTATATCCTCCCCATGAATTGGCCCTTTTTTATTATATAGTTGATCCTTAAAATATGCAAGTGTTAGGGGCACTAACCTTTTGTAGCGTTGAAAGTCTGCATATAACTTTATAGGCAGTCCTCCGTATTTGCAGTTCTGCATCCACTGGATTTAACCAGTTGTGGATCGTGTAGTGTATTTGGTGAAAGGAATTCGCATGTTAGTGGACCCACTCAATCCAAATCCACGTTGTTCAAAGGTCAACTGTATAACGACTTTTTAGAAATCTCATAACCGTTTTAAAGAGTAATCTTTGTGCATGTCTTCCCTTTCGGCTGTGCCGGGTCTGCTGCTGTGTGCGCTGTTTTGATCGCAGGGCCGCTCTGCAGGGGCGGCGCTCAGGCCTCCCGCTGCGGCGGCTTCTGCTGTGGGCCCAGGACCCAGGGCGAGTGGGCCTCGGCGGTTTTGACGACGGGCGCGGCGGTCCCGGAGCGCAGGCTCGGGAGCTGTGGCCGCGGGCTCCGGCGCCTCGCGGCCCGCGGCATCTTCCCGGATCAGGGGTTAAACGCCTGTCTGCTGCGCTGGCAGGAGTGGCAGCGGCTTCTCCACCACTGAGCCACCAGGGGGGCGCCCTCATGAGCCTTTCTAACTATTCTGGCTGTTCTAAATCAGACTATTTAGTCTGATATAAGTGCACCCACTTTCGACCTCTTTTGGTAGACGCTTGCTTGGATTATCTTTTCTATCCCTTCACTTTCAGTCTGTATGTGTCCTTAACGCTACAGTGATTTTTATTATATATAACAGATCATTTTTTAAAAACCCATTTGGTTATCCTGTGTCTTTTGATTGAAGAATCTAGACCACTTATGTTTAAAATGATTACTAATAGGTAGGACCTATGATTGCCATTTTGTTCACTGTTTTTGGACTGTCTTGTAGTTTCTTTCCACATCTCTTGATGTTTTCCTTTGTGATTTGATGACTTTTTGTATTGGTGTGCTTTGATTCTTCACTCTTAATCTTTTCTGTATTTATTACAGGTTTTCCTTTCTGGTTACCATGAGAATTACCTAAAATATCTAATAGTTACCCTGTTTTAAGTGGAGAACAACTTAACTTTGCATACAAAAACTCTATACATTTATTTCTCTGTCCCTTCAAATTTTAGGTTATTGATGTTACAGTGTATATCTTTTTAAATTGTGTATGAAAAACAAATTATTATAGTTATAGTTATTTTAATGCTTATCTTACTTTTATACTACAGTTGAAAATGATTTATGTATCATCATTACAATATTAGACAATTCTGCCTTTGTTTATGTATTTACCTTTATCACTGATTTTTATATGTTAATATAATTTACATTGTTAATTACCGTCCTTTCATTTCACTTGAAGAACTCCCTTTAGTGTTTCTTGTAACACAGGTCTAGTGGTAATGAATTCCCTAAGTTTTTGTTTATCAAGCTTTTATTCATTCTGTTCTCTTCACCTACAAAGCACCAAAATATGTGGCAACATTTTTAAGGATCTGTCATTATTACAGAGCAGCAAAGGACCTCAGGGATTATTTTAAAGATGAGGCCTAGAGCAAAGTGATTCAGAATCATAATGCTAAAAATGGAAAGGGTCTATCCTCTTTCTCAACTTTTCTACAGCATTTCCAATAAAAGTTGACCAGTCTTGGTGAGTTTCCCTCCAGAGACAGAGAGCTTACAATCTTCAGAGGCAATCTTTCCATCATGGAGAGCTGGACCATTAGAAAGTTCTTCCTCAGTCAGCTAAAATCTTTCTCCCTTTGGCTTCCTCTCTCTGTTTTTCAGTTTTCTCCTTGGTGAGAAATAGCAGAGCCAGATGCTAGATGGACCCAGAGCAGGAAGACTCCTGAGAGGGACAGACAAGTTTGACACAAATACCAGTATTCGCAGGCATATCTACTTTAGATGGGATAGTTCCCTAGATACAATGAGATGGTAACTAATCATATGGCTTGTTCCGATTAGAAACAGGGATTCCTTCACATGGTCTAGCCTAGCTTACTGGAATTCTACAATAGATTTTAGTACTGAAGTCTTGGTCAATGTCATATTTTGGTACTCTTGACCATATCTGTCTTCCTTGAACTCCTCTTAAGGAACAAAGTATTGATAATTGGGGAAGGCAAAATTTAGAGTATATATGGTTCCCCTGGCCAAATCCCACTTTTCATATCACCTTCCAAACTTACAAGTTCTGATACAGCAGACATTGACACTGTACACCCGTTCAGTTCAGTTCAGTTCAGTCGGTCAGTCCTGTCCAACTCTTTGCGACCCCATGAACTGCAGCACGCCAGGCCTCCCTGTCCGTCACCAACTCCCGGAGTCCACCCAAACCCATGTCCATTGTGTCGATGATGCCATCTAGTCATCTCATCCTCTGTTGACTCCTCCTCCCACCTTCAATCTTTCCCAGCATCAGAGTCTTCTCAAATGACTCAGTTCTTCTCATCAGGTGGCCAAATACTGGAGTTTCAGCTTCAACATCAGTCCTTCCAATGAACACCCAGGACTGATCTCCTTTAGGATGGACTGGTTGGATCTCCTTGCAGTCCAAGGGACTCTCAAGAGTCTTCTCCAACACCACAGTTCAAAAGTATCAATTATTTGGTGCTCAGCTTTCTTTATAGTCCAACTATCACATCCATACATGACCACTGGAAAAACCATAGCCTCGACCAGACAGACCTTTGTTGGCAAAGTAATGTCTCTGCTTTTTAATATGCTGTCTAGGTTGGTCATAACTTTCCTTCCTTGGTCATAACTTTCCTTCCAAGGAGTAAGCGTCTTTTAATTTCATGGCTGCAGTCCCCACCTGCAGTGATTTTGGTGCACCCTTTAGCTCACGTTAATTAACCTTGAAACTACACTGTGCATCCTTGGGCTGACACTGCGCCCTCTCGGTCCTCCCTCCTAGCTACCGGATCACAGCATCACCCATGCTTTTGAGTCCTCCATTTCTGAGTTCCTCCCCTCCTTGTAAAAGCAGCAACCCTTTAACATCTTTGGCCCAGCATTTATTTACACAGCTCAGGGTTGGCCACCTCCCCTAGCTTTCTTATCTACCAAAGTTCCCCTTGGAGAACAAGGTCTTCAGCATTTTTATTGGCATATCTTGAAAATGTACATACTCACAATACAGAGCTTTTTTCCTTTCCTATCAATAGCCAGTGTATAAACTTAACTTACCCAAAATATGCAAATCTTATATTTTTAGTTGTTTTTAATGATGTGAACTAATTAATTCCCAAGGGCTACTTCATCCACACTGTCCCACCATACTGGTAAGGTGACTATTTTCATGGAAGGATCTGGGAAGCATACCCATTGCATAATTTCTAACCATCCTGAAAATAGCTTATCAAAAGCCTCAAAATTTCCTAATGATTGGGTACATCACATCTGGAGTCTGTGTATGTCTAAAACCCAGCCAAGTGATGAGCAAGCATTATCTGGAGATACTCCGGAATATTTGTTTAAAAAAAAAAAACAAACAATAAAACCTCATAAAGTACATGGGCTTCCCTTGTGGCTCAGCTGGTAAAGAATCTGCCTGCAATGTGGGAGACCTGGGTTCGATCCCTGGGTTGGGAAGATCCCTTGGAGAAGGGAACAGCTACCCACTCCAGCATTGTGGCCTGGAGAATTCCATGGACTGTAAAGTCCATGGGGTCACAAAGAGTTGAATATGACTGAACGACTTTCATGCGCACATAGAGTACAAATCCAAGGAAGCACAGTGGCTAATGTCAAAATTTCCATTTATGTTTCAAAGCACTCACTTGAACAATGAGGTTTAGGATGGGCTTTGTATTGAATTTCTCACTAACGGATCTTTAAAGGACATATGCACTTCTTGCTGTTGTCCAGATATTTTCTCAAGAAAGTTACTCTCCTGTCTGGTACATACCAAGACTTATTACTCTGACCCAAAATCAAATCAGATAAGGAAAGATTTGGTCTTCCAAGTGACATCTGTCATTATTATAGTGATAATAGTAATAGTTAACTACATGGCAGTTAGTTGTGTCCCAGGCACTTTATATGCATTGCCTTTATCCCTACATCTCTAGGAAAATATGCATTACTGGTGATAGTCATAAGTTGGCAAGATATTTTGCTGAGACCTCAAATCTGTGAGTCCTTGATCTGCTGCCCACCTCAGTCTAACACCAGTCCTGCTAGATCTATGAGCAAGGTACAAATGGACAAAGCTGGTCAGCGGAAATAGGTTTATAAGTACAGAGGGAGCTTTGGTACCAACCCTTACCGCCTGATGAGGTACGTCTAAATTATAAGGACCAAATTTGTGTTCCAGAATGGACTAAGTCCTACATGAAAAACCATCCTAGCTCATTCTAAGAGCTATCATTCTTACAAGCAGAAAGAAGGAAGAACACACCCAAGGGAAAGAGCATAAATGAGAAGATTGTTTTCCTAAGATCTGGTTCAATATGCTTAAACCACCCACTCTACCCACCCTTAAAAAATTAATGGTAGGAGAGAGCTGTCCCATAAGCTAGGATGGCCCCTGGACCTTCTTAGCCAACTAAAGTTACAGTCATAATCAATCCAAAAAGGAAAAGGATCCAATAGGGCATGCCATGTGGAAGCAAAAACATTTTAAGTTCTTTGTTCCTCCTTTTGAAAGCTTTTCTTGTTAGTGCAGAAATGGGAAATTACTGAGATGTGTGCAGACGCTCTCTGATCCTGAATCATGGCCAACATCCCAAATCAATGACGGCTCTCATCCTTGCCAAATCTAGAGTCTTTTTCAACATGATGCCTTAAGCAGATATTTTAGATGGCTAGAATCGGCTCTTCTTTTACCGTCATTACCTTAGCACCCCAGTAGAACAGTGCCTGTTCCCTATGTCAGAAAATTCCTGCTGTGGGTAGAGGGTAGAACGGTGCTTTCTTTCCTCCCCAGAAGTTGGGGCCTTCAGCCAACATACCCTCATAGTTTGGGTCTCTCTTTAACTTAAGGATATGGCCTTGGGGCAGAAAAGTCAAGAGTATCAGAAAAGTCCTGCCTGACTTTTCACGAGGCTTCTTCTCCAATCCTTGCCTCTTCTCTTTTACCTAGACCTGGAAGCAATGAATGGGCAACTCAGCCTATTTTCCCCATGGTTATCTGCTAAATTAGGCAACATAATCTCAATTTCCACACAGAAATTCACTTTGTACAATCAAGTTCCCCAGACAGACATATACAGTATATATGGAGAAATGAAGTAACACCTTCTCCTCCCCCGCAAATATTAATAACATCCTGAAAAAATGCCAAACCAGACAGGAAGTCAGGATAATAGGCATAAACTTGGATTTTCCTGAGCCAACCAGGTCACCTTATTCAAAAGAAGCTTTAAGAAGAACATTATATCAGTCCCACACCCACAGAACGTGAAAATCATAAGCATATCTCAGCATCGATGTGACTTCACAGTTACCGTCCAGCCTAATATCTAGACTAGAAGCAAATCAAGTAGCTCTTGTCCCATTTCCCTATTTCCCAAAGGAAGAATACCCTGGGGTTCTTTTTTCTTTTATATATAAATATGAGCATGTGACTCCCCAACATGTAAAACGGTGTAGCCCCAGAAACAGAAAGAAGATGAAGCCGATATCTGATTGAGGATGCTCCTCAATGCCCAGAGGTGGACTCTAAGGAGGGGCTATTTAGTCTTATTTAATCCCAGGTCTTTACCTCCTGAAAGCTGGCACATGTCATTGGCATTTGGCTTTCAGATAAGTCTGTGTTCTGCAGATTCTGCAAGTGAATCCAGGCACAGCAGTTTGTCTTGTTGATCTTTTGGAACTTTGAAGCAGGGCATATAGTTGTGGATGGACCCAGCTCAGGTTGTATGAAAGTTTATTGCAGCAGAAGATGCCTGCCTGCAGCTACTGAAGAAGAAACCTGGTTTCCATCAGGCCAGCTCCTGCCGCTAGCCTTCTCCCAAGGCTCCCACAACTAGAATCAACATGAAATAGGAAGCTTTTGATGTAATTGGAGAGAGTTTCTGTCTATGGCAAACGGGCACTGATTAAAACGGGAGGGGATGCAATGAAAACCTCTTGTGTGGCAGCAAATGTGGGTTTGTCTGCTGTGATCATGGTTTGTTGCTTTTGGATGTCCACATGTAGTCTTCAGCTTGTTAACCAGGTGGTTTACGTGAGAGAATAGGACTTTTCAGCTTAGTGTGGAGAGTGGGGGGCAGGACGAGAGAGGCATTTGTAAAGATCTGGGGAACATGAACCTCTCATTCAATGGCCCTGTGTAGGAACAAGTGCCCGCAAGAGCAGTGGAAAGGATTAGACAAAGGACCATTGCCAAGACTACTAGGACTGCTGCAGTAATTCATGGTTATCTCTCTTGTAGGGGACATCTATGGGTGCAACAGGTCTGGTCCTGAGCCCATTGGACTTACTGGAGTTAAACAAAAAGGTGGGCCTCTGGAGTGCATACTAGGTCTCGAGTCTGGTGGAGATCCAGTTAAGGACATGGTTGGATTATAGTTTTCCATGAAAATGGGCAAACTGAAGAATTCTGAGGTCTGAGTAGAAGACTCTGCTTAAACCCTCCTCTCTTTGCACCTTATTTTTTAAGGATCCTACTTTGCGCCTTCCTCTCGTTTAAGTGAGGAGAATCTAAGAAGCTACTGTGTCCTCCACAGATCAGTGCAAGCCGCAGTGTGGCAAGCAGTTGGTGAGAGCGTGGTGGGTGGCTTAGTCAGGCTGCCTTAAGCTTTAGTGAGTGGCTAGCTTTCCCTGCTCCAGAGTTAGGATGTGCCTGAGGAAAGGGCGCCTTATAAGGCTAAACAAGCTAATTGTTAGCCTGTTTCTGGCCAAGGATTCAAGCCAGGGGCCAACTGGAATTCTAGGCTCACACATCAGCCAGCCCAAATTGCCAGGATGTTCTATTAGGGCTTGAGGGCATGATTACTAATGAAGGGAGTGGATATCTGCCTGCCTTGGCTCACCATTCAAGGACCTCATAGGTACACAGCATAAGATTCAGAGGTTCCAGTTTGGCTTTATAGACAAAACCAACCAATACCATCTTCAGTGTATAGATAAGGTCATTCAGTTCAGTTGCTCAGTTGTGTCCAACTCTTTGTGACTCCATGGACTGCAGCATGCTAGGCCTCCCTGTCCATCACCAACTCCCAGAGCCTACTCAAACTCATGTCTGTTGCGTTGGTGATGCCATCCAACCATCTCATCTTCTGTCGTCCCCTTCTCCTCCTGCCCTCAATCTTTCCCAGCATCAGGGTCTTTTCCAATAAGTCAGCTCTTTGCATCAGGTGGCCAAAGTATTGGAGTTTCAGTTTCAACGTCAGTCCTTCCAATGTATATTCAGGACTGATTTCCTTTAGGATGGACTGGTTGGGTCTCCTTGCAGTCCAAAGGACTCTCAAGAGTTTTCTCCAACACCACAGCTCAAAAGCATCAATTCTTTGGCACTCAGTTTTCTTTACAGTCCAACTCTCACATCCATATATGACCACTGGGAAAACCATAGCTTTAACTAGACAGACCTTTGTTGGTAAAGTAATGTCTCTGCTTTAATGTGCTGTCTAGGTTGGTCATAGGACTCAGAATTAGAGGAACCAGGATTGATCCTTTTCTCCAGCTCTTCTCCCAGTGCACCACTGGCCTGGGAGTCAGGACGAATGCATGTCAGCCCTGCTCTGCCACCTTCCACGGGACATCAGGGAAGCGCTCTCCTTAAGTCTCAGTTTCCTCATCTGACAAATGCATGGCTCACACGAGGCCTTCTACAAATCCAACATTTAGTGATTCACTGTATTATCACCCACTCCTAATGTTCTGTTTGAGGGACTTAGTATTTTTATTTTCTTTAAAAAAAAAAAATCAGGAATTTGAGCCTGTAGCCAACGAACATTCCTCCCCCGTTATGAGAAACAACCCTCAGAATCCCAAGGAAACCAGGTCCAGGACTGCTCCCGAGGGAGGTTTCTGCATGCGCACAACCTACTCTGTCTTAAAAAAAAGCAAGACTCTTGACGTCCTTTTCCCCAGTAAAGTCAATGACTTGCAACTTCCTTTCCCAAGTCCTCGCAGAATTTTATGCAAATTAACGCAGGAGCATTTGATCTTCTCCCCAGATGTTTTGATCACAGAAGGGCCACATATGTGCACACATTCCTGGATATTTTTAGGTTTTTTTAATAGGCTCCAAAGTTCTAACTGCTTTTTCACTCTGTGTTTTGTGGCCGCTGCCGGGAGATGCTCTGCCAAAGCTGCCAAGGCAGGGCCTGGTGGAAGGGGGCCTGGCCCGGGAAGGCTCCCCAGAGTTGCTCTGAGCAATCCTGGATGCTGCATGGCTTCAGTCCCTGAGGCCTCTCTGGCCACTAAGAGGAAACAAACCACTGCCAGGTAGGACTTTATGGGTTACACAGACGCTCCCTGGAAGAGTTCTGGCTGAAAGTCTCCTAAAAATCATACCAAGGCCCCAGTAAAGAGGTTAACAAGACACGGTGGAGAAAATATTGGGCAGAAGGTCAGAGATGTGACTCTGGCTCCTTTATAACCAGTTACTTTTCCTCTACCGGGCCTTAGTTTCTCTGTCTGCAAAATGGGATACTTCATACATGTAGAGCAGGGGTCTGCAAACTATGCCTGCGGGTTGGCAGCCTGTTTCATTAAATAATGTTTTATTGGACAAAGCCTCAATCCCATTTGTTTACAGATTATCTGTGGCCGAGCGACAGCAGCAGAGTAGACTAGTTATGACAAAACAACGTTGCCTGTAAATCTCAAATATTTACTCTCTGGCCCTTTAAGAAACAGTTTGCTGACCCCTCATGTAGCAGAAGGGCTTCCCTTGTGGCTCCGTGGTAAAGAGTCTGCCTGCAATGCAGGAGACTCACGTTTGGTCCCTGGGTGAAGAAGACCCCCTAGAGGAGGAAATGGCAACCCACTCCAGTATTTGTGCCTGGAGAGTCCCGTGGACAGAGGAGCCTGGCAGGGTCCCAGAGAGTAGGGCACAGCTGAGCCACTAAGCATGCAGACACAGTGTAGCTGATGCCGCCTTCACCAGTCCAGGACGCGCGAAGGCATCCCACTGCCAGCAGCTGGGGCTCTCCTCCTTCCCTGGGGGCGCGGCTGTGGGAACTGATGTCCCCGGGAGCAGCCCTCAGCCAGTGACAAATGGTCGGAGGTAGCTCTCCCAGCTCCCTCAGCTTGCAGGTGGGACAAGCCTGAAATGAGTTTCCCATTACGTCCTGGATGTCGCCAGTGGGGCTGAGCCCCAGATGCCCAAAACAGTAGCCTCCTCCTCTTCACACCGGGTATTGGCTTCCTCCTCTGTCTCCCCCTCTACCCTTCCAGCGCTGCTTCCTGGATTCCATTCCCCATCAAAGCCTCTGGTACTCAGATCTGAGACGCAGGGTTTGCTTCTGCAGGTGCCCAGCCTAAGCAGGACGTGAATCTTGCACACCTTGTTCTTTCTCTTCCTTGGCATCTGATCTAACTGAGCTGCCCATTCAGTTCTGGACTTCGGTGAGAGGCCACACGGCAGGATGTGGGAGGTTTTCCTGAACAACCGTCAGGGTGCCGGGTGACACGCGCTGGAAGTGCAGGGCAGTTTGTTCACTGTGGGGTTAGCCTTCCCACAGGCGGGAAGCTGACAGATACATGCACGCTACTCTCCCCGTCTTTGGACTTCGGTGGAGTGTGGCTTCTCTTTGGAAACCTTTCAGGGGAACTCGATGTGCTGAGAGATCCTGTCTGCTGAGAGACCGGCTGTGCTTCTTTGGCGCCTCACTGAGTAACCGCCGGGTAGGGCTATCTACGTGAGAGCTCCTGCATCTTCCTTTGTCTTGTTTCTGAACCTTTTCCTCACCCTAACCACCCCAAGTTCGTACCGCCCAAGTAAGGTTCCGGTCCTATATCCTGGCCCCAGGCTCCGCTTTCCAGAGCATGTGAGCTAGAGTATAGTTTTCGTTTAAATCTCTCTTAGGGACTCTTTCAGCACTGACATACTAGACCTCTACTAAATCCGATTTTTCACCTAGTAATAAAAAAGATATTGTATATCTACTGTGTTGGATGTGAGACATCATTTAATTCTCACAGAGATTAGTTTTTGAGGTATGTCAGGGTCTTGTTCATCATAGTTCAAAGCAGACTGACTTGAATGTTATTAATATGACAGTTATTATTATTACTTATTAAGTTCTATATGCTAGACCTTGAGTTATACTTTAAAGGCATTAATTGATTCTCATTTAAACCTTATCAGGTTCTATTATTACCTTCACAAGAGGAAAATGAAGTTCAGAGAAGGTAAGCCATTCATCCTAAGCTGCATAGTAAGTGACCAAGCCAGAATGTGAAACCAGATCTGACAGTTTCCAAAGGCCATGTTCAAAACTATGTACTTTATTACATTTGATATAAACAAATATAATAGTCTTCCAAAACTTCTTCTTTGAATAAACACTTCACTAATTGAAGATATATGGATGGCAAATAAACACGTGAAAAAGATGCTCAATGTCAGTAGTTATTAGGAAAAAGGAAAATTAAAACCATCGTCAGAGGGACTTTCTTGGTGGTCCAGTGTCTAAGACTCTGTGCTTATAATGCAGGGGGTCTGGGTTCAATCCCTGGTCAGGGAACCAGGTCCCACATCCCCCAGCCAAGAGTTCGCATGCTGTAGTCAAAGATCCCATGCTGAAACGAAGATTGAAGGTCCCGCAAATAAGACTGGGCACAGACAAGTAAATTAATACATTAAACAAAACAAAACAAAAAAACCATAGTAAGATACCACCATACCTAGTAGAATGGTTAGAATTAAAAAGACTGACCAAACCTTATGTTAGTGAGCATATGGAAGAACTGGACTCTTAACACACTGCTGATGGAATGTAAAATAGTGTAGTTAATTCAGAAAACAGTTTGCAATTTCATAAAAAGTTAAACATCAATTGAGCATGTGACCCGGTCAATCTACTCTTAGGTTTTTACCTAAGAAAAATGAAAACATACATCTACTCAGAGACTTGTATATAACTGTTCATGGCAATGCTATTTCTAACAGCCCCCAAATGAAAACAGCAGCAGGTGGATGGACAAATTGTGGTATATTCATATAGTGGGATACCATTCCATAGTAAAAAAGAGTAAATTTTTGATACATGCAACAACATGCATGATTCTCAAAATAATTATGCTGACTGAAAGAAGCCATATAAAAATGAGTACATACTATATGATCCTATTTATACAAGTGATAGAAGATGCCATAAGAGCAACAGAAGGCAGTGTGTGCCCGTGTGTGTGTAGGATGGGTGTGTGAAGAGGGATGAGAAGGATAATAAGGAGCTGTAGGAAACTTGGAGGGGTGGTGGATATATGTTCATTGTCTCCATTGTGGCGATGGTTTTGTGGGAGGATACATGTGTCAACTCTCATCAAATTGTACACTTTAAATATATGCAGTCTATTGTAGGACAGTTGTATCTCAATATAGCTGTAAAATACAAAAATAAACTCTGTGTGTAGCTGAGCACCACCAGAGATGACACTGAGGAACTGTTCTCTTTCATTGTCTTCTGGGATTGCCCGTGGAAACTAAACCAAAGGTGAAGGAATCAGCTGATTGATCTCTCCTTGGCTAGTTCAGAGTGGTGTGGCCCAAGTGGGAAGGAGGCGGGGATGCAGCACTGGCAATGTGGACATGATCTCTTTACCTGCTTGAGCCTCAGCTTCCTTGGCTGTCAAATGGGAATGTTTCTTGTGCCCTGCCTTCTCCTCGAAGTTGATTTAAGGAAAACTAAGTGACCTTGCTCTCAAGTGAGAATGACCAAATCTCCCAGTTGATATAAGATGCACATGACAAGCAACTGGTGGCAGGCCCAGCCCTGGGCGCTGTGGGCCCACCATGGTGGGCGGGGCTGGGAGCTCTCACAGACTCCGCCTCTAGAGCTGGCACAGACCATCTTTCTTCTGTTCTCTGCTCCTCTGTGGTTTTGTTAACAGATACTCTTTGTCTGGTCCCTCAGGCTCTTTCCTGTCTCTGCTTCTCACCTGCTTTGTCTGGCCTCACATCACTCTGCATTTTCTCCAGCTCCCCATGGATTTTCTGCTATTGAGGGACAATAGCCTAGACCTGCCCACCCACCCCAAGACCAAGGAGAGACTGGGTCCCCTTGTTCAAGGTCACCCCAGGCACGGGGACCACGTTTGGTGGGAGAGACAGACATACTTCTCAGGGCTTCTCCAACGAGGAAATGGTGCAACTGAACCCAGAAGTGTGGGTGAGCCTTGGCCTGATGGAAGCAGGACTGCACTCTAGAGAGGAGATATAGCCTCTCCTCCTTCAAGGGCGAAGGTCTGGGGTACTGGGACGCTGTGAATGACTTAATGTGATCCCAGCCCCACAGGAGGTGAGGCTGAAGGGTAAGCCGTATCAGAGAAGCAAGGTTTCGTGTGCCACGTGCCAAGGGGTTTGAGTTCAAATCTGAAGATACTGGCTACGTACTGAATATTTCCAAGCCTGGGTGTGACAGTCGCAGTTCATTCAGCGGGGTAGGGTGGGCAGAAGGGATCATTTGTGGGGTCCTGCTCACACCTCCCCCAGAAGGGTTGCTTTCTCTCTAGAGCTGGGTTTCTTAACTGTGGCACTACTGACCCTGGGGATGGATAGGCGTTTGTTAGGGGCAGCTGTCCTGTGCCTTGCAGGGGATTCAGCAACAACATGTTAGCTTCTGCCCGCTGGATACCTCTAGCCGTCCCCCAGTTGTGACAACCAAGAATGTTTCCAGATGTCTCTTGGGTGGCAAAACTGCTCTCGGCTGAGGACCCCTCCTCTAGAGTTTTTTTTTTTTTTTTTTTTGAGCATAATATGTATACTGATGGCCCCTCCTGTATTTGCTCTCTTCTCTCCTTCTAAGGCTGGGCAACGCCTGGCTTCCAGCCTTTCCATGAGGCACACGGCTGGATGGTGTCCTTGGCGCCCCACACAGCCTCGTCTCAGCACCTGTGGCTCCAGTTCCCCGCTCACGGGGGCTCCGGCTGGGGCTGGCTGCCCGGAGCCAGCAGCCAACAGCTCTGTCCATCTCTGCACCAGGCCAGCAGGGCACCTAATCCACCGCGGGGCACGCCACGTGGTGCTGGGGAGACTCCTGGGCGGGGTGCCGCCACGGTCGGCTGAGACCAGCGCTGTCCAAGCCCGCTGGCCGTGGACCTTCCGGCCTTCTGCCCTGCTGCCTGCCAAGCTCGGAGCCTGGAGGGACGAGTCAGCTCGGGCAGCCAGCCAGGGAGCGGGCCCCGGGCTGGGGGCAGAGGGCAGCGGGTGGCAGCTGAGGCCATGTGACTGCCGGAGGCTGCGAGTGTCACAGGGCACAGCCGGGCCGCCGGCTCATCGCTGGGCTCAATCTGAGACGGCCTCACATGACTTGGCTGTGGGAGTCTGTGTGCCGGGGGTGGGAGAGGAGACCGGAGGGAGGGGAAGTGATTTCAGGATCCAGGCTGGAAATTCAAAATACATTTGTGCATCACGGGCAGATATGCATCATATGACCTCCCTGATTTTGTTAATGCAGAAATTAGGCTTCGGGCGCGGGCACACACACACAAAATGTATCTCACCCCTGCTGTGTGCAGGCTCTGATGGCTGAGAAGGACATTAGGAATGTAGGAGAGGGAGGGGGCGTCAGCCATGCCACCCGCCTGCATCTCCCAACGCGTCAGCAAAGCCAGAATACAAACTGGCCTTCAATTCCAGAGCTTACCATGTGCTCATTTGTATGTGAACCTCACAACAGAACACCAAGGCCTGAAGAGGTTCCTCAGTTTTCCCTGTCCTTCCTTCCTTAGGGTTTTCAAGGTTAATCTGGCTTTGTTTTTGCTTTAATACTCCCCCGTCAGCTCCCCCTATCTCACCATGGCCCCAAACAGCACAAGCTGGCAGGTCCTTCTTGCTGATGGGAGGAGGTGAGGGGTCATGAAATCACCCTAAGTCTAGAGGCGGGGGGTGAGGTGGGCACAGAATCCCCAGTGGAAGGGGTCAGAAATGCAGGAGAGCCGAGTCGGGCAAGTCCTCACGCAGCCGGATGAGAATCCGCACAGTGAGCTCTCAGAGCCCCGAGGCTCCTTCCCTCAGGACTGAGAGGGAAGCCCTCACATTCCTCTGGCAACACACCCTCACCGCCGCCAGTGGGCCAGAGACTGTATTTAGTTGTGCTAAAATCCTAAAGACCTAGATCAGAACTCCTAGACCTATGTCCTCAGAGTCCAAGAGGGCAAAAGCTTGTGAGCAGGCTCTGTCCCCTCTGGGAAGAGAGCCACCTACCGCGTGCCTGCCGAATGTTTCACCTCGAGGGTTATTACTTTCAAAATAGCATTTAATATACTTAATCTCATTACATAAGCAAGATATGTTCCATGCAGAATATCTGGGAAAGCCAATAAAATATAAAGAAGGAGATTAAAAATTCACCATCATCTCACTAATAAGAAACAACTACTGCTCAAATTTTGCTTTGTCGTTTTCTCATCTATAAACTATAAAAAACAAAACCAGAGTAATTATATATATATATACATATAAATATAAAGCTTATATATACAATATAATGTTTATATGTACACATATAAATGACTGAGGCATAACATATAGTAAAACCGTAGCCCACCAGGCTCCTCTGTCCATGGGATTCTCCAGGCAAGAATACTGGAGTGGGTTGCCATGCCCAGGGGATCTTCCTGACTCAGGGAAGTCCATATATAATATAATAGAACATAACAACAGAACATAATATTTATAAATGATTGAGGCATAACAGTTAGTAAAAGACATACATTTTAAGTTTATAGCTCAGTACATTTTTACATATTATTGCATCCATGAGACTATCACTCTGATCAAGATACACAACATCTCAGAATCCAGAAAACCCCCTACTCCTTTTCCTCAGTCAATAACTACGCCCATCTTCAAGATGTAGCTGGTATTCTGACTTTCACAGTTTCAGATAAGATTTGCCTATTCTTGCGTATAACTAGATATACAGAGTCACAATATTTATTCTTTTTTTTCTTTTCTTCTTCTTTTTTTTAATCTAAAAAAAAATAGCCATACATTCACATGAATCAGCCATGGGTGCACATGTGGAGAAGGCGAGGGTGGGATGATTTGAGAGAATAGCACTGAAACATGTATATAATCATTCGTGAAATGGATCGCCAGTCCAGGCTCGATGCATGAGACAGGGTGCTCAGGGCGGGTGCACTGGGACGACCCTGAGGGATGGGATGGGAAGGAGGTGGGAGGCGGGGTCAGGATGGGGACACATGTACACAGTACTTATTCTTTTGTGTTTGGCTTTGCTCACCCAATCTGTGGCATCTACTACAAGGCCTAGCCTAGAAAAGGTACCCTGCATTGGCTCGTGAAAGCTCAGCTGGATGCATGTTGAGCGAATGAGTGAGTGAGTATCGATAGGCTTTGGTGATGGGATGGTCTTCTGTGTTTTTTGCTCACTACCTGGTGGTCCCTGTGGAGGAGGGGGAGGAGTAGGCTGGCTCATGTCATGATCGGGAGGGCGGAGGAACCTGAGCTGAAAGGAGGCCCTGGGGAGAGCGAGGAGGGTGCCTGTCTGCCTGGCACTCACAAGGGCTGGGCTGGTGCCCGTGAGGACAGGACCCAGGGTATTTTTAGAAAACCCATCAGGGCTGCCACTTGACAACGAGGTGACAGCCCGTCAGCTCCCGTGGCTTTATGGGGCGCCCCCACCCGGCTCTGCACCCGTGCCTCAGCCCACTGTGCCCTCTAAGCCTGGGGGTCACGCTCAGCAGTGGTGTGGGGCGATGAACAGGCACAGATGAGGGGTCTGCAGCCCTTCTGGAAAGCACATCACTGGAACACAGAAGTGCCTGGAGAAATGGTGCTATCATCCTGTGCCCCAAGAAAGAGGTGCATGCTCTTCAGGATCAGAGTCACAGCACAGCTCCCAGACAATGTGCCCCCTTATCATTCAAAGTCCTCAAGGCTGGAAGGGACCCCTTTCTGCCCCTCGCCCCACCTGGGGCTTGAGCCCCTTCCTTTCCAACACAGGCTCAGCTCTCACACCCACCTTTTTGCTTTTTCTACAGCCAGCATCTTGGCCTGGCCACCGCCATCTCTCCCCTGCCCTGCTCTGGCCACCTCCTTGCTCCGTCTGCTCCTGTTTCTCATTACCCAGTCTCCTCCACAGCAGGGCTCAGGCGTTCTCCACTGTGAAAGCCTTGACAAAGTGTCTGAACGTAGCTGGAGAAGGAGCAAGATCACTGGAGAGGGATGGAGCCCTGGTGAGCAGGAGAGAGCTGCCGGGCTCCGCAGGGCGAAGGAGGGGCTGTGGGCAGAGGAGTGGGGCCCCACTCTGAGACGCTGCTGGGGCTAAGAGGGCTGACGTGGGAGGGCCAGGGTAGGCAGCACTGGGATGACCTAGGCGGGCCTCAGAGCAGGCAAGGTTTTATTATCTCCTGAAGACTCATTTCCCTTTAGGGGAAAGGATTCCTTGGGCTTGGAAATGAATGGGTTGTGGGAGATTAAGAGGCAAGGGATGTGCTGGGTTTGCTTTTTGTTTTTTCTGTATGACGGGAAAACTGCCTTTGGGAATGTAGGAAATCAGTTCTCCATGAGCTCATGAGCTATTGGGGTAGAAGACAGTCATGCTATAACCTTCTAAATCCGATGAGCAGGCCTCTGACAAACTGTTAGAATGAGTGCTGATTATTGAGAGTGTTTATGCAGCATGTGACCTGGCGTGGGTTGTTAATGCTGTCCTGGAGACAGCGAAATTTCAGATCAGCAGTATTTTGGGGTTCCACTTGGAAAGAGCCCACCCCTCAGCTGACTGGTGCTGTTCTCCGCCGGGTGATTTAGTGGTCAGACTTGCTCAGTCAAGAGGGAGCAGCATCACGACAAGGCACCTGTGCCCATCTGCCAGTTTGGATGAACAGCCAGATCACAGGGTCAGTAATGCCTCCTGGCCAGAGTACATGAGCCGAGCAGCTGTCCCTGACATGCTGGCCAGGAGAGGTCCTCTTACCAAGGCAGCCAGGTCACCACGGGGAGTGCGAGGTCTCCTATGATCAGAAGGGTATGTGAGTGTCACGGCTATGGTCAGAGGGAGGCAGGAAGCCTGCTCTTGGCCCCCCACACAGATATAAATCCAGGAAGCTGGAAAGGAGGCCATTAAGGTCAGGATGGAGGATACTCCCAGCATCCCCTGCTGCCAGAGGGATGGGTCCATGGTACACTCAGAGATTGACTGGGAGAAGAGATAGGAGCGGAGCTTGCTGCAGTTAAATAATTCCTAGATTGCAGAGCGTCTCCGAGCTTTATTTCTCTTTTGTAGAACGAGTAAAATGAGATGAAGGATGAAAATTGCCCCATAAATTGAATGATGTTATGTGCACCTAACACATTATTTTCCCCAGGAATTTTCATGTTTAATGTTTTTATCAGCAAGTTGGGGGGAGCTAGTGATTGCGGACTTATCACCTGTGTCTGGCTAGGAAGGGTGGTTGAGACACAGGTAAGGGAGACTTCGGGTTGCAGGGTCTGAAAACTCTGTATTACCCTGGTTTCCCGCTCCTGGGTACCCTCTCTGCACGGCCCTTGGAAGACGCAGTGCCCCCAGAGGAGCTCCATGCTTGTGACGTGGCTCCTGCCTCTGTCGAACTTAGGTTTCTCCACCTCAGCGTCGCTGACACTGCGGTCTGGCTGTGGGGGCTGTCCAGAGCCTTGAAGGGTGGTTCTCTACCCACTAGAGGCCAGGAGTGGAGAAGGAAATGGCAACCCACTCCAGTCTTCTCGCCTGGAGAATCCCAGCGACGGGGGAGCCTGGTGGGCTGCCGTCTGTGGGGTCGCTCAGAGTCGGACGCGGCTGGAGCGACTCAGCAGCAGCAGCAGCGACCAGGAGCGCCGCCCCTCCTCTCCTTAGGAAAACCAGACGTCCCTGGGAGACAAAAGTCCCCTTGTTTGAAACCATCTTTCTAGCTTCATCTTTTGAACATTTCTGCCAGCATCATGTGTGGCTTTGGTCACATCAAAGTACATGTGGTTGCTTTAAATAAACAAAGGTTTTTCACACCTTTCGTATACCTTTGTGTACACAGATTCCTCCCTCTATCATCCTTCCCCACTCCTGCCTTTGAGGCTTCGTAAAATCTTGCTCATCTTTGAAAACTCATCTCAAGCATCCCTTCCTCCAGGACACCTGAGGTCCTGGACCTCAGGACACCAGGACCCAGGTCCCTGAGGCTCGTGGCCAGTGAGTGTATTCACAGTATACATCTTCTGGAGCCCTGGCTGTATGGATTGCAATTGTTTGTTTGTGACTCTCTCACTGGACTATAAGCTTCTTGAGGGCAAATCCTGGATCTCCTTTACCTTTGCTCCCCAGTGCTTGGTACACAGCCTAGCACAGAGGTGGGCTCAGTAAATCCTAGTTGAGTAATATCATTTAATGAGTTACTACTGGCTGGTCACAGGATATAAAATGCTCTAGTCCAAATGATGTCACTTTTTAGATCTCATTAAAGCAGGAAGTCTAATACTCCATCCTTAGCACAGCAAATCTCATCTCATGTGCAGACAAAAATCAATTTATTATTATTTTAATCTCCAGGATGCCAGAGAGGTGCAGGGGAGTTTCCTCCTGTGAAAAATCTCTGTCTGACTCTGCCCTTGAGAAAACATTGGTGTGGCTACAGTAGGTAGTCCTTCCTCTCTGAAAGGCACAGAGTGAGGTCGGACGCTGACCTCAGCCAAACTTTCTGCACGCGTCCCTCCTGAGTGAGGGGCTCTGACCACAACTTTCTTAAAAATATGCCCCCTCCCGTCCCAGAGCGCAGCCCCGCCCTGCAGCTTCCAGAACCCTTGGCTCCGGGACTTTCTCCGGCTCTCGCCTTTGCATTGTCAAAACGGAACAGACTGCGCAGAAGGAACGCGCTTGGTGCTGAGACCGGAGCCAGGGCGCTCTGCGCGGATCCAGACAATCTGCTCCGCTCCTTCCAAGGAGAGAGGAAAGGCTTTCAGTACTTGCTGACAACCAAGTCGGCGATGGGAACATCTCTGGGTGACCAGGGCTAAACAAAGCAAGAGACGTACACCCTACGCTGATGTGCTTTGAAAAATAAAGGGCTTCTAGCTTTAAATACAGTGGTTTTATTGTGTGTGTGTGTGTGTGTGTGTGTGTGTGTGTGTGAGGGTGGTTGTGGTGATGCAAAAGCTGTCAAGTCCAACCTTCGCTCAAAGCTTGAACTGAGTTGATGGCCCCTCTTCCACCCTTCCCTTGGACGCCTTTAGGGACCAAAACCCCTCACTGTTAGACAGCTCTGTCCAATAGAAAAGCTTCTGGTCACTTTGACAGTTTACCCTTTTGTCTTAATTCCAGTTCTTTCCTCCATTTGGAACTGGTCCAATCTGTCTTCCCCAGGAAAGATTTTTAGAGGCAACTATGTTTGTTACCACCCAAATCTATTCTTCAGGCTAAACAGACCCAGTTCTTCCAAATCGCTTTCCCGTGACAGTTTTGAGCCTCCCCGCTTCCTGATCGCCCCTTTCTCGTCACCACGTAAGTGACACAATACTCTGGTTGTCTGTAGTCCTCACACAGTAAGTTATTTGGGATGGACAAGTTTTCTAGAGGGTTGAGGGGTTACCTCTCTAGCACCACACTTTTAAAAAGCATGATAGAAAGCATGCAGGATGCGGGTCCCTTGTGGTAAGCCTAGATCTCTATCATTTTTCTTTCTGATGTTTCTCGTCCCCTCTGACATCACCTCATGACACTTCTCCCCACACCCCTCTCCAAACCTTTCTGCTCACCATCTGCCAACAAGACTGACTGTCTGTGCCATCAGAGAAAGAATGAGGACCAATGAGAGGAAGCCACAGAAGGTCAGATTACGTGTGGGCAAGAGAAGCATCTTCTACTGGCTGAGGGGTGCCTTTTCTTCATTGAAAAGGAGCTGCGAGTGGGCTCTTGGCTTCAAAGGTGTCAAGCAGAGGCTTCCCTGGCGGTCCAGGGGTTCGGAAGCCACATGACAATGCAGTGGACACGGGTTCAGTCCCTGGACTGGGAAGCTCCCAGACGCAAGCACTGAAGCCTGCGCTCTGCAACGAGAGAAGCCGCCAGGATGAGAGGCTGCTGCCCGGCAGCGAAGAAACCCCGCCCGCCACAGCTGGAGAAAGCCCGCACAAGGCCAGACCCACACAGCCAGGAGACAAGCCCGCCACAGCTGGAGAAAGCCCGCACAAAGCCAGGCCCACACAGCCAGGAGACAAGGCGACAAGAAGCCTGTAAGGGGCGGCAGGCAGAGACCCCTGTCGGGGGTCCCTGGGGAGCCTCCCCAGGGACATCTGCAAGGACCGGGCTGGGTGCTCCCCAGGCTCCTCCAGCTCTGCATTTTGTGGGTGTGGACAAAGATTGTGTGAAGTGCGGGCTCCTGGGTTCCTCGTGAGAGACGGACTGGAAGGCCAGTCCCTGCAGCCAACCTCAGCTGGTGGCTGAGTCGAGCCCCTCGAGAAGAGGGCACAGCATGGAGTGTGGTGACGGGCAAGAGGAAGGAGGGGCTGACTGCCTCCTGTGCTGAGAGGACTCGAAGGACACGAGGTCTGAGACCTCCAGATGGTCTGGGAGTGTTTGAAGTTCTGAGAAGTGTAGGAGTAGAGCCTGGGACGTTGTCCTGGACACCAGAGTGGCCACTGGGCTCATTGCAAATGTTGGGGTGTCAGTGTTTTTGCAGAATGCTGGAATCTCAGGTCTGGGTGAGACCTTGGCACCAGTCCAGTCCAGCCCCTCAGAGCTGGCACGCCCTCTGGGGGCCTCATCCAACCCCTGCCAAACACCTCGGTGTGTGATTAAAGGAGACGACAGATGCGAATGGTTGACCACCGGCAGGTAAATAAATGTCTCCCCTCTCTCTGACGTCTCCCTTTGCGTGACAGGAAGCTCCCTGCCTTCTGAGACAACTCACTCCACCGTGGGGGGCCGGGGGGGGGGTTGCCCTGAAATCTGCTTAACTGGGTGCCTGGTGCCCTTGTAAGACATTTTTTTAATTGATTCCATGTTATCTGAGGAATCAGGTGTTACTGAGTACAGTTGCTTATGATCAATGCAACTACTAACAGCAAACTTGTGCCAGGCACTAGATTGAGTACTTTACAAACTAAACACAAAAGTCAGGCTTAGGAAAACTCCAGTGCTCACTGGGTCATAGCTGGAATGGCCCCCAGATGTCATTTCATTCAGTCTTCATGTTCCAGAGTATAAGATCCAGACTCAGATATTAAGCCACCGACTCTAGTTCAGTCATGGATGGATCAAAGTCATCTCCCTAAGCGAGGTGTGGTCACCAGGATTTCTGGACAACTTGTCTTCCTAAGGAAGCCAGTCCTGCAGGAATGTAGTTAGAAGCAGTGGTTTCCTTGAGGGTCACATAGAGACCCTCATCAGAACTGTTCTACCCATCCTGTGTCAGGAGGCTGGGCTAAAGAGACATGTTCTGCAATGTCCAGGTGAAATGGAGGGCATTCTCTGGCCACTGTGGATGGCAGAGAGGCAACGACAGTCTTAGGTCAGGTTCCTTAGAAGCAGAGGCTGAGAAAGGGTATTAGGTCTCGCGGTTTATAGAGGGAAAAACCTGCAAGGGAGGGAGATAGAGAAGCAGGATAGGGAGTGGAAAGGAACAAATGCCAATGTGTTTGAGCGTAGGGCTACCAGATAAAATATAGAGCGTCCAGTTACATTTGAATTTTAGAGAAACAGTGAGCAATTTTTACTACAAGGATTTCTAAATATTGCATTGGACGTGCTTATACTAAAAATGTGTGCTTTTGTCGATCTGAAATGCGAATTTAACTGGATATCCTGTATTTTTATTTTCTAAATCTGGCAACCCAGTCTAGGCCGACCAATCAGCTCTGTGTACCCCAAACTGAGAGATTACCTGGGTTGTGAGAGTTTCAGCGCCCTAAACTGCGGTCTCAAGTAAAGCTTAGCCTTGGCCTAATCTTTGGGGAGGGGGTGGAAACAGGACTGACACTCTGGAACCTAAACACACGACCCAAGTGTCCCCTTGAGCGCAGGGCACTGCCGTTTCAGAGCGCTGTTTCACTTAGTCATCCCAGAGCTGGCTGTAGTTGCTGAGCGGCGGGGGCTGGGGGAGGGGGTGCGGAGGCGGGCAGGCTGACCTCCTGGAGAGGCAGCTCCTGTTTCCTGAGGGCGGTTTGCCCAAGAAAGGGGCAGCTGTGAGCCGATACCAGGCAAGCAGGTCACACTCATAGCATCTGGGGGCGGGGCGCAAAGGGCCCGGAGTGTCCCACACCATCTGCTCCAGCATCTATAGGCCTCCGGCCCAGGACAAGGGGCGAAAACTAAGGCTGCCTCCGGTCCCACTGATCAGGGGTAGCTCCTCTGCTCCAGGCTGGATGTATGGGAAACTGCAGCGCAGACTGGTTGGGATGTGCTGCCGTGCTCACAAAGTTCTGTGAGAGCCCAGAGGAGGGTCTTTCATTATTTTCCTAACTGGGAGAAGGACCAGAACAGATTTTACAGACAGACTAATATCTGCACCAGGCCTTGAAAATGAGTGGGAGTTTGTAGGGTTGGGGGTGGAGAGGTGGGGGGGTGTTTGGGGATGGGAGGGGAAGGTGCAGCTGAGGCATAAAGGTCACAGTCCTAGAGGCTGAGGTGTAGAGGTACAAGATGTAAAGAGGTCTTCTCATCAAGTCCCCCAGGAAGCAGTTACATGAGGCTTTAGTTTCTTTTCTGCAGACTGATCCCTAAGCCAGGAGAGCACAATGCCTTTTGCCAAGGTGGTGGATTCTACTGGGGCAGGTTTTGTCCGAATGACAAAGCATCTGGTTCAGGCAAAGGGCTGAAGGACTTATTTTCTGACCGAGGCTAATGCTTTGGAAAGTGCTGGCGGCCCTGCTGACTTGGGGATGCCCGGACACCTGGGAACGTCCCAGCGCCTGGCAGGGGAGGCCCCGCCACCCGGCCCTGGCCCAGATCCGTGGGAAGACAAGCTTCCTTCTCACCTTTCCAGTATATCCTGAAACCAGAAGCCCCATGACACTGGCTCCTCTGTCCCTGTTCTGGGATTTCAGCTCTGGCTGAGGCAGGATACCCACGCTGCTGAGAAGCCTGAGAAGCTTCTGGGACAAAGGTGCAGGGAGGGTCAGCTGGGGAGAGCAATGGGACCCAGCCCAGACCAGTGTCCCCATTTCTGGGCTGAACTCGGCCAGCACTGTAGAGCTCAGCATCCGGGTCTTCCAGTGGCCTTGTGATTTCTTTTCAGCCCTTTGCAGAGGGAAGGAGGGCCATTAAGCCCTTATTCCAACAACTTACTTGCTGTGTGATCTTAAACATGTCACTTGGCCTTGCTGAGCCCACCTTCACATCTTGACTAACGACAAAAACATCAGTACTAGCAACTAACATCCTTGTAAAATTTGCCAGCTTTCACGATAGCACAGTCACATAAATGTTCTGATTTACATTTCTTAGCAAATTTTGAAATGGGTGAGTGGGCAAAGTAGCATTAGTATCTCCAATCTAAGGAGGAAGAAATTAAATATAAACAGTGTAACTTGCTCTACTGTTATAGCCACAAGGCCCCTGGGATTAGGGCTCCTGACTCTAGGACACCAAATAGGCAATGATCTCTCATCAGAGTCTCAGGAAATGTCTGAGACAAGTCAGCACTTTAAAGGTCTTGATGATGGGACCCAGGGGGCATTTGGTTTCCACGAGTTTTCTGACACCTACAGGAGCTGGGCTTGGGAGGGCAGGGTATCCTACAATTGGCCCCGTATTCTGTTTCTGCTGCAGTCTGATGTGAACTCAAATCTCAGTGCCCTGTGCTCTTAGAGATACAATAAAAATATTTCATTCTGAAGCCACGACCCCAATTGTTGGTAGAAATAAAATAAGATTTGACAACGTGGTGTTTCTCTTGGGATCCATTAGGGAGGTCCCAGGAGCCCCAGAACCTCAGGGCTGGTGTCCTTTTTAGATTCCAAAGTGACTGCATCTCAGATCAGTCACTGCTTAGAATCTAAAGAAGCAGACCAAGCTAGTGCTG